GGGGGTTTTCTTAATATTTGGGTGCTGTCATTGGTTCTTTTTTGACAATTGACGCGCGAATGGGGCGTGTTATGAAAAGGGGCGTATTTCAAAATACCGGGCGATGGTTGCAGGCCCACTATCAAGTTCCCTTGGGCCTGCACGCAGGCTATATTCAGCAATGCAATTACATTCCTAACTAACTGCTAAAATATGTCAAACATAACTATTATGAGCAAGTTTCATCATAATTTCACACAGGCCGTGTCATGGCCAATCGGACATCACCAACTCCCAATGTTAGAAATCATGGGCGGATTTACTTGGGGGGGGGGGGGTTAAACCCCTCTAATAAAGTGTTCAACCCCACCAAAATTCTGCTTCAACCCACCTATTTTGTGTGAAAGGCTTTAACCCAAACACCTAACCCCTGCCAAAGCTCACTGAGTGGTGCCGCTTGCACCCCACCAGAAATTTTTCTACCCCTCCTTTTAAATAAATGAAAATCCGCCCTAATTGTTGGAAATGTTGTAGCATTCCGAATTTACCTGATGATCAGTGTATCAGTGACTCACTTAAATCCCGGCAGCTTGTGGGCCACATTTTTGTTCTTGCCATGTAACTATGACATCATACTGTGTAAAACTATATAGTTTTATAATTAGTTCTGAACAGACAATGGCAAAATGATATCTATTTTTAGTAAAATTATGAGTAAAACATCGGGATTTAATCGCACAGATTGAGTAAAATAAGAAAGTAGCCAGGGTTCATTGCAGCTTAATGGGCTGACTATATATCTCGGGCTGCTCATTTGCAGATAGTGTGTTAAATTAACCCACTGTGTGGTAGCAGGGAGCAGTCTCGATCCCCTTAAAATCGTCTGGCATTAGACAGACAGAGTAAACTAATAAAGACAGTCTTTTACAGGGCTCATCAGGACAGGGCACATGCATTGTCACATGTAGGTGGGCCTCCTCTACGGCTCAACTCTCTCTGGTCTTGTGCTTTATATGTATAGATACTAATTCTGCACTGTGATGGGCAAGTATATAAATTTCACACCATATTTAAAACGTTTTAAAATATATAAACATGTATGATGTAAACAACCACAATTTTTAATGTAAATTAAAAACTGGCAGTCTGGCAATAAAACCACAAAGGCCTGTGCTGACACAAAACAACATAATTTCATGTACACAATGTTTAATCGTTAACAATACTTTTATGTCCCCTATTGGAATATTTACTGTACATATTAGGATGAGTTTTTGACATAATATGAAGGGTCTATAGTGACTCAAGCCGTCTAGAAAGTTATTTTAAAAGTTTCGTGAATCTTACCTGAAAGAATTAGTCTTTCTTTGTAGTGAAATGCTGCATCCACAAGCGAATCAAACCCGCACCCTCGCTCCGCGTTGTAAAACAAGTAATGTTCGAGGGAAATATTAAGATTTTTTAGCTGAGAAACAACAGAAAACTTTATATCTATCTCGTAATATTTGCCCAAAAACCAGGGGGGTTAAGGACATCGTCGGAAGCTTAGGATTGCGGTTGGTCAGTGGCAGTTACCATGAAAATAAAGTAAGTGTTGTCATGGAAATGGCGTAAGATCCGCCATATTTTCGGCTTCACTTTTGATGCCGAGCAGGTCCTCCAGTAATATAGTATAGCTCAGTGGGACGTACCCAAAGAGTTGTTGTCGAAGGTGTCCCATCAAGCTGGGTGCCTATTATCTCCGGCGTGCCACAAGGAAGTATCTTGGGTCCGATACTTTTTGCTATCTTCATAAACGATCTTCCAGAAGAAATATCCAATGGCTCTTCGAAAGCTATGTAGGCTGATGATACAAAGTTGTTTAGAAACTTTACGACTGACGGTGATTGTTTGGAAGAATCCTTATCCAACCTCGACACGTGGAACCGTGATAATAGCAAGCTTAAGCAAATGCGTTTTTGCGATGACGACGACGTTAGATGACGCAGATTGGGACTGGCACTACGTCGTCGCGTCATCGCTGCTAATTTGTTAAACAAGTGCAAATGACGACGACGAAAAATCCAGATATATAAAAAATGGCGCCATTTTCAAATTCAGTCAAATTGTTTTGAAATGTAAACAGCGGAACATGTACTTTAGGGAAATTCGAGAGCTCGCTACATTGTGTTTTGGATTAGCTAATATATCGGCAGCGGAATTTGCTGTTTTACTTGATGAATATGAATCTTGCAATCCAGATTTTCCATATGACGAGTAGGCCTATATGTCTTTTAACCTGGATGATATGGACGAAGTGAATGCTTAGCAGAGTTTCGATTTGAGAAGCAGCATATTACACTTCTCGCTGAAGCATTGAGAATCCCAGCTTACTTTATTACGCCCTTGCATTACTGAAATTAACCATTGCTTTAAAGAGGAAATTTAATTTAGTAATATACTTCTTCTTTCACATTTCTACAGAAGGCAAAAGGCATGTTTTGGGAATGTTGGCAGAGTCAGGTCTGATGGGGCAGTTGGAATTAATATAATAATATAATATAATAGTAATTTACACATTAAATAGCTAAGCTAGATTACAATGTGCTACAAATAGAGTTTTTACTGTTTTTAAAAATTGATTAAGAATGAAATAAGAACTATTTATTATATTATCTTATACAATAAAAAAAACCCATGCAAGATTAGTAAGATTTTCGAAACTAAGAGTTAGCTAAGCTAAGAGTTATTATTTATTGCATAAATGATAGGACTCTGACTAAATCGTTTAGTTCTACGCGCATAGTTATAATATTCTAAGCCGTTTGTCCTCGTTTCCCTCTCTCTTAATTGAGAAACCTTCATTGGGAGAAGATGGTGAAGTTTATGGCCGGGGTTTGACATTTTCTTAATCATGTCAACACACATAACATCTCTACGTTCCTTTAGGGTTTTCAAATTGGACTGATGTAATGCATGATCGCAGCTCATACCAGGGAGGATTATTCTTAGCGCCCGCTTTTGTAATCCCTCAATGTCATTACTCTGTTCAACTGTGAGATTGCCATTCCAGATTTGAGCTCCATATTCTAGAACCGACCTTATTACACCCGTTAGGTCTTCCAAGGGGGCATTATAGCTTTTAAGCACCTTTAAGAGATATAATCGTTTGACTGCTTTCTTTATAATATAGGCTGTATTAGTATTCCATTTTAAATCGTCGTCTATCCACACACCCAGCAACTAAAATGATTTTACTCTTGTGAAGATATCCCCGCCAATAGCAATTGACGGGATTATGGTTTTAACCTTCCTGAAGTCTACCAGCATCTCTTTACACTTTTTACTATTGAGTTCCATATTTTGATTTCTCGTAAATTGCAATATGTTATCCACGTTTCGTTGAGAGTTTCCGATCGGGCAGTTGGACACGTGTTGGGTGATGTCAATGACTTCCGATAGAGTTGTATCGTCCATGAACAATGAAATATCTTCATCCTCTGGGTTAATTGCAAGGCATATTTTAAGTAATAGAGTGGTGGGCCATTTGGCCCACCAGGCCCCTCAAGTGGCCCACCACTCACAGGGTATTGGCCCACCACTGTGTGGGCCCCCGCAGCTTCAGTCTTTACATTTTAGCATCAAGAATATAAAATTATTTACCTTAAACAAGCTATTAAAACGCTAGTCTATAAACTTTCACTTTCTTGATGGTATTTATAATGCAGTAATGGTTTTGTTTCAAATTATACACGTGCAGAACACAAAGTACACCCATATTTTCCGCTGACATTACGTATTGGGGGCACATGTCATCAATGTTTCACGATCCTCAAAGCCAGTTCTCCCAAAGAAATAATTGATGCAAGCAGATAATTAGTGTGTGATCTTTTTGGTGAGGAAAAGCTGAGAGAATTTACTTCTGATGTTTGCAAGTCTTTCGGACAGATTGAGAATATCCAGAATATTGAATCTAGTGATCAAGGTACAGTTTTGACAGTGAGATTAAGGAAAGTCAGCCAAGGTCTTCTAAAAACACTCCTTGCATCATTTCTCGCTGTTACACCGCACAGTATGGCGACTGACAACAATAAACAATGTTTTACAAATTTCACTGAATAGGAAAGGAACTGTTCTGTTTGATCCAAGGGAGGCAGTAGCAGAATTTCTAAAACGAAAAAGCAGAAGAAATTCCCAACCTGACACAGAACTTTTTAAGGATAGACAGTATATGAGAAAATTTTATAGGGAATCAAGTGGATGTTTGTAAATTACTTCTGTTTAGTCACTTTAGTGGAGAGTGCCAGAGTGGTCTAGTGGAACTGGAACTGGAACACTTTCAACACTGCATTTCATTTACAATCATTTCAGTATTTTTTGTATTTTTAGTCAGATCAATTGCATCTGTTAGTGCGGCGAACTCAGAACTGGGGTTTGTCCCCCATGCCCTTGATGGCATGATACCCCAGTGGCCAGTACGCCAGTACCGAAATTAGCGGAGTACCCCTCTACAGTGTAGAAACTAGAAATAATAAATATGTGTTGAATGTGACACTGTAATACTCAGTAAGTTCAGGAAGCGTTTTAACACGATTACTACACAAATATTCAATACTCAGAGCTGGACCGGCAGGGGGCGGGACGCGGGGGCCCTACCGTACATTTTGGCCCACCGCTGTAAATTCCTTAAAATATGCCTTGGTTAATTGGGGAGATTATGAGCTGAAGATCATTGATGAGGATAATAAATGCGATGGGTCCAATTTTACTTCCTTGGGGAACTCCTCCTTTAACTCGAGCCTCCTGCGAGAATTCATTGCAGAATTTAGTGACTTGTGACCTATCTTTGAGGTACGATCCTAGCCAAGAAATAAGAGCTGGCCTGACCCCAATTTTCTCACAATTTTCCAATAGCTTATAATAATAATAATAATAATAATAATAATAATAATAATAATAATAATAATAATAATAATAATAATAATAATAATAATAATAATAATAATAATGACTTTATTTAAACTGGAGAAAAAAGACGGATCAGCATATTTACAAGAAATAGCTGGTATTAACCGGTGACCAGCATCGTAAAGGATTTCTATGGTAAAAAAACACAAATTACTATTTTACACTACATTACTATTTTACACTACATATATGTTCTTTTTTGTCCATATTTAATATATACGTTAATACTTTAGTTTTAAAGTTTGATAAACGGTACTTTGTTTAAAGTTTGATAGGTACTCTACGCAGTTCTTGAGGTAGCTCATTCCAATCTAGCCTGCGAACAGGCTCTCTGGGTGAAAGAGAGCCTGCAAGGATCCCTATGATATTTACGTGCATGCGTCCAATATTTGGACGCAGAGCTCTGATTGGTTGATAACTGATTCAAATGAAGTGATTGACAAGCTTCCATAAACTACACTTCCCGTTTAAAACCGAGCAACGCAAAGCTTCGGACTTGCGGCAATGTAGAGATAAAAGTGTCATGTATTTTGTATCCTTGTTGACTTTTTACAGTAAAATAATATAGTATTCATATAAAGACGAATACTAAAAGCTTGCATGCTTTATTGTGTCCTGGGCTTGTCTGACTTCTAGGCTAAGAAAAGACTGAACAAATTCGCAGACCGAAACCTAGGGACAAGGCATTTATATATCGCTTCTCTTTCATGAAACAATATTGAGAATTATTCTGATAATATTCAGTGCATATTGTTTGTATTAAGCTTGTTTTACAATGTTATACTGACTATTTAATATTTATAAGTATGCGGCGTTAAAATGTACAGTAATTTACTCGTCACTTTGTTTACAATAATTATCACATGCATGTTTAATACTGTAATTCCACCTTTTGTTGCAAAATTTGAACTATAAACATATTAAATTATGTCCAATGTCCATGGTATATCATATTATACTATACTATACTGGATATATATATTTATACAGTTATATTATTACTACACTGGATATATATATATATATATATATATATATATATATATATATATATATATATATATATATATATATATATATATATATATACACTGGATCCAGAAAAGTTTGACCTTCGACTTCGAATATATATATATATGTCGGCCATTTTGAATTTTCTTGGGTTAATTATACGCGAACGCATACATCAAATGTCGCTCGCAACGTATTGTATATTGCAATATTATTCCAACAGCTCAAATGAATAAAAGAATCATTGATTGATGTCTTTGCACATAATCATAATGGCTAGTAGGAAATGAACATTTGGAAATGAACATAATGGCTAGTAGGAAATGAACGTTTCTGCTTCGCCAAGTCACGAATGCTGCGTGTGCTGAGTTTCAGGGGATGAAATATCGAATGACTATCGATTCCGTTAAAATTTCCGTTGGCAAAATATAATAGAGAGTTCGGCAAATACAAGGGCAACCGCAACGGCAATATGGTCATTAACAATAGCATTAATCCTCAAAGACAAAGGCGAATGTAAATGACATGGTATTAAGCGTTGTGCAATGCCGTAGTTGTTGATTCACGGTGCACGACTACGGCAACAATTCATTCGTTCGATGTTATTTGAGAGTTTTATTGAATTCGCGGACTATTTTTATTTAAGCGTACGTTTGAAAGAAACAGGAATACTTAATGAGGCAAATTAAGTGTAGTAACGTATACTTTGGCTCAAATACAACAATATAAGCAATTATATTTTCCCCGTTGCAGTTGTCGTTGCCGTTCTAGGTTGCCAAACTCTTTAATATAATAATTCTGGACGTAGGTTACAGCTATAAAATAAGCACAAGTGAATACGAAAGAATAAACAAAGAAATTCATCGAGGCATGCTAATAAGCGTCTAAATCTCTAAGGATGCAAAAGAATAAATTACGACATGCCAAAAAGATCAGGTTCCAAATTGTGACAAGAGTTAATTAGCTAACAACCCTCAAATGTTCATTAGATAGCTACTACAAGTATGTGTAAGAACTTCAAGCAATGATCCTCTACTTATTTGAGCTGTTGGAATATTGCAATATACAGTACGTTGCGAGCGACATATGTATATACATATATATATATATATATATATATATATATATATATATATATATATATATATATATATATATATATATATATATATATATATATATATATATTAATATATATATATATATATATATATATATATATATATATATATATATATATATATATAATTAGGTTTCGTTGTTTACAAAAACATTTGGCAGAGTGCTCAATGGATATGCAGAGCATAATTAAATAAGTGCAACGACTCAACAAATTCCATTAGGCATCTTTATTACTATTAGTTTCGTACCACAAGATGTGGCACTCATCAGATAAATTAGCGTTATGACTACAGCAAAAAACCTACAGTATTTATGTACAAGTGGATGAAAGCTTTAAATTAATCCCATTTACAAAGCACGCAAAGCAATTATTTTGTTACTTGATAAAATTGACAGGACGCGGAAGTATTAACAACGCATCAGCATAACGCCAAGCTATTAAGATTGCGCGGTATATTTCAAACAAAAATATGTCTGTCTCGAGTGCATGCCCTTTAAATGTTAGCTAAAACATATTTTTTCGCATGTCTGCATGAAGACACTAATTCATTACGTTTGTTCAAAGTAGCCAGTTCAGGTTTACATATAATAAAGTATTTTTCCCGCACACATATATATATATATATATATATATATATATATATATATATATATATATATATATATATATATATATATATATATATATATATATATATATATTCCAAACAACTGAATTAGCGGGTAATATACAACTTTAAACTTACTGTGCCTACAGAAACACATGCAGATTGTAATAAAAAGTACAACTTGATATATTACACTGTAAAACCTCAAGCCGTTTTAACTTTTTAGTATGCCCCAGTGGCGGTCTGTATACGAAACTAACGAAAGAATACAATATAAATGGAGTTCAACGTTTATCGGTTTATGTTTACAATATTTAAGTGTATTTCCGGTCTGCGCTGATTGGTTGATATTAATTGACCTGTGACATCCTAATTGAAAGGCGGCACGCAATCATCATAGGGATCCTTGCAGGCTCTCTTTCACCCAAAGAGCCTGCTCGCAGGCTAGGTCG